TGACCTTGAATAAAGATTGATTGAGTGCCAAAAGCATGCAAATCCTATGGCAAGTCAGGTTTCCCTGGCATGATCCCTGGATAAATTCACTATGAAACCATGCAAATTCCATGGGGGATGAGGTTTGGAGCACTGACCCTGAATAAAGATTAGATGCCAGAAGCATGCACATCCCATGGTAAATCAGGTTTCCCTGGCATGATCCCTGGATAAATTCACTATGAAACCATGCAAATTCCATGGGGGATGAGGGTTGGGAGCACTGACCCTGAATAAAGATTAGATGCCAGAAGCATGCAAATCCCATGGTAAATCAGGTTTCCCTGGCATGATCCTGGATAAATTCACTATGAAACCATGCAAATTCCATGGGGGATGAGGGTTGGGAGCACTGACCCTGAATAAAGATTAGATGCCAGAAGCATGCAAATCTTATGGAAAATCAGGTTTCCCTGGCATGATCCCTGGATAAATTCACTATGAAACCATGCAAATTCCATGGGGGATGAGGGTTGGGAGCACTGACCCTGAATACTGATTAGAAGCCAGATAGCATTGCAATTCCCATGGTAAATCAAGGTTTCCTGGGCATGATCCTGATAAATTTCACTATAGAAAACCATGCAAATTTCCCATGGGGGATGAGGGTTGGGAGCACTGACCCTGAATAAAGATTCGATGCAAAAGCGTGCAAATCCCATGGTAAATCAGGATTCCCTTGCATGATCCCTGGACAAATTCACTATGAAAGCATGCAAATCCCATGGGGGATGAGGGTTGGGAGCACTGACCCTGAATAAAGACTGGATGCCAGAAGCATGCAAATCCCATGGTAAATCATGGTTCCCTGGCATGATCCCTGGATAAATTCACTATGAAACCATGCAAATTCCATGGGGGATGAGGGTTGGGAGCACTGACCCTGAATAAAGATTAGATGCCAGAAGCATGCAAATCCCATGGTAAATCAGGTTTCCCTGGCATGATCCCTGGATAAATTCACTATGAAACCATGCAAATTCCATGGGGGATGAGGTTTGGAGCACGGACCCTGAATAAAGATTAGATGCCAGAAGCATGCAAATCCCATGGTAAATCAGGTTTCCCTGGCATGATCCCTGGATAAATTCACTATGAAACCATGCACATTCCATGGGGGATGAGGGTTGGGAGCACTGACCCTGAATAAAGATTAGATGCCAGAAGCATGCAAATCCCATGGTAAATCAGGTTTGCCTGGCATGATCCCTGATTATCCTCACTATTGAAAACATGCAAAAGATGCAAATTCCATGGGGGATGAGGGTTGGGAGCACTGACCCTGAATAAAAATCTGCATTTTGCATGGATCCCAATGGGAATTCTATGTTCTTCTGTGAGCTTGGGAACTCAGGATTCATTCACTCTTGTGGGGGGAAGGTTATTTGTTTGAATTACTTTATATTATTTTTCATTTTTTTTATATTTTTTCCCCTGGGAAAAAACGGTTAGCATTATTCATGGTATATTTATTATTATTTTTTGAAATAGTTTAGCATTATTCATGGTCTATTTACTAATCGTAGGTCAACATTAGTGTCCTGCCACGCATGGATTTGTTCCACCAGAGGATCCCAAAGGAGATGGCACTTGGGGAGGATATGTGAATTTGGTGAATGTGTTTGATGGTTCAACCTTTTTGGGGGTTGCCCAGCGAAACGAAAGGGAACGCGTCTTTGAGAGTCCAACCAGTTCAGACACCGCCCATTCGGTGCGACTCCTAGGTTTGCATGGCACCTCGGCTGCAGCCGGTGGTTTGAGGTGATCAGACTTGTTGTTTTCCTGCTTGTGCAGTACTCGGTTCGAAGTTTGCATATGCGTTTTCTTGAGAGGTTGCCATGAACTTGCGCTGTTGATTGAACACGAGCGGTTGTTTTCCTCCATCCGAGTTTCATAGCATCGAGAGCTTAGAGGGATGGTTCCAAACAGACCATGCGCAATGTTCACAGAAAGGAAAGCAAAACGGAAGGCCATTCTTTGGAGTTTCCAGAACCCCTATTCAACACCCCTCGGGAGGGTCTCAATGAGCTGACAGTTATTCCAAACGCGCAAAGAAGACATTTTATTTCAGGGGAAACAGCTGAAGGTTGAGGTCAGCAGAAGCCTGACGCATCAAGCCTGGGACATGTTCGGTACGTAACTTGGGCTTGTGCACGTTGAAAATTGGTGGGTTTCCATCCTTTGTTTCGTTGGCGCGAGCCCAGACAATGCAGGGTACCTCAACCTCATGTTTTGAACTGGAGCGGCGGTTTCAGTGGGAGTCACCCGTACATTGATGAACGTGCGAAAGGAGTGGGTCAAGAACCAATGGTACCATTTTGGGCTAGGTGAATTCACCACCCATTTTAGTCTATTTCAGTGGTTGGATTGGAATGTTCACTGGGGGCTAACCGATTTGGATTTTGAAAAGCCCATGGCCATGTGACAACCCCAGGAGGTTGGAGTTTGGCTCGTGACGTGCCCCTTGAACTCGCCTCGCATGGCTCTTGAGGAGTGCAGCCACAAGTCCTACTTGGATGCCAAGTGGCGTCTCGGCGGATGCCAGCTTTCACGTCAGCTTGCAACATCCAAAAGGGTGGGGGGGGTCACTGATTTCCGGTTGGCGAACATTATTGGAGTTGTTCCAATTTGCCCAGGTAACGCATGCCGCACAGAGCCAACGTATTTGCATGTTTGTTTGCTTCCCAGTTTCCCGAGAAAGGGCAGCTGGGAACTTCCGGCCAGCGGGGTCCGTGTCCATTTGACTAAGACTGGCCAACAGAGGTTTTTTTTTTTGGAAGGACACTAGTCTTGCAGTCTATGTTTTGGAGCATTTTGTGATTTTGTGACATGGTACAACTTCTCGCTGAACATGGACCCATAATAATCTCAAAATGCCATTTGGGCCGCTGATTCAGGTTTGTTCGAGGGGTATGTCCTTCGCTTGCGGCCCGAGGCTGAAGGCAAAGAAAGGCCGGGACTTGGGCAGCAAGCACGTGGTTTGCGGCAAGCACAAAGAAGCTCCGCTCAGAAAAGGCCTTGCAACAGATCTAGTGTTTTTCTTTGGGACCTCTTTGGACATCACATTTGTTGTCTGAGGTTACCCGAGTATGGGTCAGAATCCAAAAATGCTATGTTTAGTTGGTCCAACACGAAGGTTCACACTAAAATGACGCGCAGCAGCCAATTATGGACGAATTCCAAGACGGTCCACCAGGACATAGAGGCTAACAGTTCCTTGGGGCGAGGACTTAGCCGATGGGGCTAGCACACCGATAGTGCGGGATCAATATTGCGAATTGCAGAAACATCTAAAAAGGCCAGCTATCAGAATGTAAACACACTCAGATCACCGTACTCGCAATGTCATACGCAGCCTGTCACCCCATGATCTTAACAGCTTCAAACTCACCCGCAAGCAGCAAGCCAAGCTTCACAGCCTGAAATCTGCCAAACCAAGAGGCCCAGGGAGTCAACATGGGAACGCGTGCCGCGTGCGCTCAAAGGCCTTGGGCTTTACAAGGATTGTATAGCAACTTTTGTACGGGTTCCTCCGGTCATGACCATGGCGCCCATGAGAAGCTTTGGCCATTGCAAGCATTTGGGGGGAAAACGAGACTCGACGAGATCACCCATGAAGGTCCGTCACTTTTGGTTCCCTTATTTTCCAGCTTGGGAATGGTAGTTTGCCAAGACACATGGGGCGGGCACCAGGTGGCATGAGCTCTGCGGTTTGCGTGCGCTGTCGGTCCATCATCGCGGGCGTGGCCTAGCTGAGTCGAACTGAGCACTTAGCGCTTGCTGTTGCCATTCGGTGCGGTCTGCGGCCTTGTGCCTTTTAGCTTCAATGACCCCCACACCAGAAGAAACATATGGAAGGGGGACCCCCGATAACGACACGCTTCTCTATCCTGTTTCCTTCCAGCCACGCTCTAGGGCCACTGGTTTTGGAAGCACCCGTGGGCCGCATCCTGAACAGATCACCTTGCTGTTATCCGAAGGTGTGGTTTCACAGGGAGCACTGGGACCTCTTGACATCCGCCCCAGATGTTAAGCTTTGTGCCAGTGCGGAGTGCCATTTGGCCAACGGCAAGCCGCAGAAGCTGCGCCCAAACACCCTGTTGATTCCCCACTTTTCGGATCGAAAGGCGGTGCTCGGCCAAGATATGGCACATGCATGCCACGCGTATCACTGTAGCAGGCTGCAATGCGGCAAGTGCCCAGTGCCGGGGTCCGCAAAATGCAAAAAGTAGGCACGGTCTGGAGTATCTTTCGATGGCGCAGCCCCGGCGTCGATTGCACAAAGGGTGGCACTGCGAAGATGCTACATACAAGCATCAATGTTTGCCAGCACCCGTGCCAATACAACTATACCTGACATCCGGGCAGGGGAGCATCAGGGGAAACATGAGTTTGGCAGGGTCCAATTTCACGGCACGATTTTTGGCACCATTTCGTGGCGATCAAAGAGGGCTGACTTACGCCACAATCAAGGTGAGGTTGGTTTCAATCCTGCACTTTAAGGTCCGAGTTGTATCTTGCTAGGTCGCTAAATATTCAGTATCTATCGGTTTCATGCAGTTAAAGTTCACCCGAGCCATTGCCAGGGAATCCCATTGCTTTCGCTTGGCCTTGCGTTAAAAAGACGTATGTTGACAGCTTTGGAGGTTTGGATCGTCGATTTTGACTCTTTGGTTGCAAGGCCCGGCTAGGGGTTCTTGGAAGGAAATCCGGCCCATGAAATCAAACAAGTTTTGACACAACAGACCAGCCAGTGAGCTTGATGCGCGCCACTGCGTTTGACTGGCCTGTGCTCGATACTCAGCGACTTCTGCAAGGTACGTCTAAAATTTGCTACGGGAGCCCCCGCTCACGCAACAATGCTGGGTACCCTGCTGGACATGTTAAAGATGTTGATGCGTATTGCGGCATTGGGCTCGTAAATGTCCAGCTACCCTGCGCCCAATGCTTAGTGGTGTCTC